TTGCTGAATTTATATTTAAAAATAAGAATTTTTTGATAGAAAGTAACAAACATGGTTCACAGCAGGAAGAAGTAAATATGCAGCAGTTGCAGAGACTAATCAGTGTAATTCTTTTCTAGGGCAATACTGAGTAAAGAAAGTAAGGATAAGCTGAGTGTAAATTTCATGTATGAGCCACCACCTGGTACGAAGAAGGAACGAGAAAGAGAAGATGATGAACCAGAATATAAATTTGAATGGCAGCGAAAATTTAATGCACCAAGAGAGGAGTATGTATATTTCTTAAGCTTATTCCTAACATAGAAGTTAAGAGATTTGGAAGTTCACCGGACCTTAATTATTTTACTGGTTTGTTGTAGGTGTCTGTGTGCATGCATGTCTCTTTCTTTATAACAGTTGTCTGTATCACCTGGAGGATATTCAGATTTGTGAATATAGTGTATGCATTATGATTTTTGCCTCATTAAGTGTGATGGAGAACATATAGCATGCAATTGAAATTTCATGGGGTATACTGACTAGACATTGGTCTAGACAATGGATTAAATTTCATGTATGGTCTGAGATATTTCTCCTTGCTATGACATCCAAATATTAAAATTTATTTCCTGATGATTATTTACAGATTTTTTTCCCTGGTTTAAACATTAACAAAGCATTTGGAGTGAAGCCTTGATGACTCACTGTCCTTTGTAGACGGATGCATGTAGACCTGCATTCTTACCATCACTCCAGGCAGGAGTGTATGGACATTTTGTTCTTGCAGATGATATGGTGCCCCTGAATTCTGCAACAGCTTGTTTCTCAAATGTGCCGGTCTTGCTGCATGAATTACGTCAATTTTGATTGGAACATTTCTTTTCTGATATTTTGCCACCAGAAGCCTAAATCTTTAATTATATTGCAAAGATTCCACTTTCCACCACTGAAATTAATCTTCTTCATGGGTGCAGTTAACAACAATTATAAAGCAGGCCACTCACCTTTTGTAGCGTGAGGTTTTTTAATCGTTCTTCGAATTACACACTAGTCAAAATCTTTTCTGTTTTAATATTCCTTCTTTGCCATTTTTTGTGAAATGTGTTGATGTCCTCCCCTGCTTGTCTGTTGTGGTCATAATATTTTAATATGCACTTCAGACTGCTGAAATACACCAGCAGCTTGAGAAATATAATTTTGTATTTATTAATGTTAATCACCTTGCTGCTGTCTGCTTCATCCTTCATAAATCTGTATAAATACTAATCACCATTTCCTTATTCGAGCTGTGTATTACTTTATGTTCCCCTATTTTCTTTACACTTCTGCCATAATGTTCAATTAAGCTGTACCATTTGCAGAAGTTATGGGCTTTAAACTATGGGGGAGGTAAGAAGTTTAAGACTAACATGTTTGCAACCCAAATTAAGTAAATAATTCCCTTAACTGTAGATCATAGATCAAAGAGCTGGGTTGCCCATGCTCTGAAGAAGAACCTTGACAGGTTCTTCTGCATTTGGAAAATTAACCTGTGGAGATATGTATTTAGTAGTTTGTTAAATGTAAATATTCTCCATGTTTCAGTTACTGCAAAGGTGATTCAGAAATCAGGGATCAACCATTTGGCATCCAAGTTCGCAATGTGCGGTGCATCAAGTGTCACAAATGGGGTCACATTAATACAGGTAAGGAGGCAGGCTTAGTGTTTAGGCACTCTGTGATGTCGGAATATGTGTTTCTTATGAGAGATTAGCTAATTATTGGCATTCATGGTGATTTATTGATATTATTGATTGTCCTCTTGGGTGTTGACACCATGCGGAACCTTCAGGCACTTCACCTCAATCAAGACTGTCAGTTCACCAGTGTTCATCTTTGAAGCGGTACTGTATCACTCTTTGCCCAGGTTTCTCTGAAGGAAATATTGGACCAACACTTTAGCAAAGATGTTATAAGCCACCTAGTGATCATTTTGATCTACTTTCTGTTTGATGGTTGGTTCTGTGAACAGGAAGATGGAATGGGCATGGAGTCTTCAACTATCCCACTTCATAGCCAACAACTGTATAACACATTCTGAGGCACAGGTGGGGTTAGTTAAGGTTTGTGGGCAATGCCTTTGTTGTCTGACTGCATGATGCAGTGGAGCTCCATAACTTTCTCGTGCACCTAAACAGAATTCCTACAAAGATTCAATTCACAATAGAGTGGGAAGAGGGAGGTCATCCGCCATTCCTGGCTGGACGTTGACATTTACAGAGTCAGAGTCGGTTCTTGGGCACAAACTACAGGAAGTACTTGAATGGCTGCTGTGTTGCATCACCATCTGCCCCAGAATTTTGGCATCATCTGAACCTTGATACTTAGGTCAAGCTACATAAACCTTCTTACTGAACTAGCTTACCAGAGAAGAACTTCCAAGGAAAGCAGGTTCTCTGCATAATATTCTGCCGCAGCAGGGACTGGCTCAATGAAGTAGCATCCAAACAAACCCTTCAGCACTGCATTTTATCATTTGTGCAGAATGTGTCCAGCCACAATGGCAAAATACTGGTGTGATACTACATTCATCTTATCATGACAGCCTTGGTCTCAAAGCTACTGGAGGCTACTTGTGAGTATGGGGCTTTGTTCATAGGTGAGATTAGTCTCGTAATAGAAGAATGATGAAAGGATTAGCAGAAGACCTCTGGCTCTGCTGTGCTGTGTTGTCAAAACACTTGGTCAGACAGGGCCACCAGATACAGTTTGACTACACAATGGTAGGAAGCTATTTTATAAGCCTAGCGTCTTCAAACCAAATACTTCAGGAACACAGGATACCACAGAGGGCCAGTAACAGCTGCACAAACTCTATAGCTTGAGCCACTCATCCATCCTTACAGCATCCATCCTGAGTACCATCTGATCATGTGGGGTGTCACCACCACATCACTTTTGGGTCCTCTATAATGGCTGCTTTTTTGATGTTCTTGTGTTCTGTCATGAGGAAGGAACAATATGGGTCTGTCCATACCTGGCTCGCTGTCTTGTCACATTTTTTGGGTAATGGACTGGAGGATTTTAGAATTCTTATGTAATGGATATGGCAGTGTTTTTCAGACTGATCTTTGTGGACTTTGCTGTAATGACTGTAATATAAGCTAGTCATTGTGTTGAATAGTTTTAGGATTGGTGTGTTACCTGTATAAGATCTGAAGTTCTCATTGCAACTTATTGCAGCGAAGTCTTGCTCATGAGAATGGAGTTGTGATCACAACTCACATGCCTGATCATGTGAGAAGACATCATTGCATGGGACACCTACTTTTATGTAGATCAGTTGTTAGATCATCAAAGTATTGATAGAGGAGGACCTGTGTGTTATACTGGGTTATCAGTGATGTGCTATGGCAGTGTCTTTATAAGATGGTGTCTGGAGTCGATTAATAAGTTTCTACATTTCACCGATAATGAGAGTATTCATTCAATGCCCTCCCAAAGCTTTTAGGATTGTGTCTGCCGGGCTAAGACATCTGTAACTCTGTGGAAGAGCCATCTATGAAACAGTTTTTTTTCCATATTGGAATACTGAGACAGCTACAGTCACCTGTCATACCATTAGATATTTGTGAGAAGAATTACTGCTGTTTTTCTGAAGTCTTGGCAGAAACTTTGCTAGGCATGCCATCTACGCCCATTAGTCTGTTAAAATGCAGTGCAGG